TAATCGGGTTTTCGTATGAATTATTCGGTAAATCGTGTTTATTATTCGATAAAACGTTACAAACAATTAATACAAATTCGAGTTTCGGTAAAAACTAAGATAAAAAACGTTAAAAAGTAATACAAATTCGTGAGAAGAATGCGAGAGAAAGAGAAGAGAAATAGCCCTAAAATGGCGACTAAGCGGAGAGTCGTTAGGTTTGACGGTTAGACTCAGACTAGCGATAGGAAAGGGAATTCGAGAGAATGATCTGCTGGTGTGCTTATATCACAGCGCATGCGCGTCTCAATTGTATACACATGTAGTGTAAAATTCATAATTTATAATAAAATGTTATGTCTTTAATTTTATTGGACATACTATTTTAATCACTTATAATCTAATCTATTAATTAATATAAACGTTGTAAATTATTTTATACGATCCCTATCTAGACATCATCAGACTATTTAAGCATGGCCAATAATTTTTTATATACTTTTCATACCTTAAGTACTCTATAATAATTGTATAAATGGTAACTCTTATTGAGAGACTATATCCCGATCTAAATCCCATTAATTAAGCTTAAGTTTATTTTAATTTACGATCATAGCCAAGTTGGTTTATCATAAATCATTCTATTCATTGAGAAAAATGCAATTTTTCTACCAAGGCAATTGATAACCAATATAAAATTCTAACACTATCTCACACATCTCAGTCTACTTATGAGCCATAACTTATGGCTCATAAGTATAATTAGCTCGTATCAATGTAATGGGTTTTTTCCTTAATTTAATATTCTTACAATGATCAAATATTTATACCAAATATTTTATTTACAATACTTAATACAGTTTTGAGATTAACATGATCAAATACTTATACGCCAGTGATAACAAACACCAAAAAACAGTGTATTTAATGAGAAAAATTGATAACAATATTAATGCTAACTCTCAAGTAATACATTAGTAATTAAGAGATTAATTAATCTCCAATTGTAATGAATGGCAAATAAATAATAATTTTGTAATTCAATTATGATAGCGCTTTAGAGTACACAAAGAGAGAATAGCGGTTACCAAGATTAGTGAGGCATCATAAACCAATTAATTCTAGCCTCTAATAAATTAATAAATACTAGTGAGTTAAATAATACTAATTTAAATAAAAATGTACCTAGCTTGGAATTTTGCGGTAAAAAAGTTGTATAATAAAAAGTGAATAATCATTTTATTGAATATTTGAAATGAGCAAAAAATGTATATATGCGGACGTAATTGACGGCATGAACGGTGAGAGTGTTGGTCATCACTAGTATATAAACATTGAGAATAATAATAACGGTTTGCAAATAGCGTTGAACACAGAGTTGTGTGCATTTCATACACAACAACAACAACACGATTAACACAACAACACAATTAGTAAATGACTCGTTTGTAGTCATCACTAATTAGTAATTATAATAACGTTATAATTAACAAACAATTTGTGTTGGCAACTCAAAACCAACCTAGATCATTCTCGCACCACAAACAACACCAGTAATTATAACTGCAATCAGTATTGAATTAAAATTACGCAAAAAATCAATAATTATTTATCAAAGTTTTTTATGTGTGTTTTTTTTCGCACACTTTCACAGCATTTGTGTGTTTTATATAATAAAACATTGAATTAAAACTTTTAATTATTACAACAATTACGAGCGCACAACACGTGTGGACCAGTTGTGCGAACATCACCGGTGGGAACAGTTGAGTGTCTGTGACATCAGTGTAATCATCATCAGTATTGTCGTTGCCGTCACTCCCGTCAGCCAATAGTGTGGACACATTTGGTGGTAAATGAATGTCTAAATCCAGGGCTAATACAAGTGGCCGTTATTATCGAGACCCCAATCGTGACCGCAATTATCGCCGAAACTACACTGTCTTAAAGGGCGTGCAATACGCGGCCGTTATAGCCATCGTACTCGGCGTCCAATACCAGCCATGTGTCCATAGTTTCACTTTGTTTAGCCATTTGTTCAACGATGACAACCACACGGACAGCACCGGTGCCGCCGCCCAAAGACATCCGCTCGACGGCCACCATCGCTACGACGACGGGTTGGCCACCGCTGGACGACCGGTAGGCCGAGGGGGTGTCACCACCGCCTCCACCGATAGGCAGCCGTTCAGACGCCTGACCAGAGCCGTGCCCACCCGGGCGTCAGTTAGTTACGCGGCCGTCGGCGATGTTGTCGACCAGCCAGTGGTGTATGGGTTCCGGTTAGAGGGCGCCGATAGTGACCAGTGGTTCAATATGGACACCAGAAACACCATTTTGAAGGCCAGCACAGAGGTAGACGTGCGGCTATACGGAGCACACCTTAACCACACGAGCGCCACACTTGCCGTAGGGTTTACCACTCAATCGCCGCCGACCTCAGGTTCGGCCGCGTGTCGGCCCAACACAGAGCACCAGTTCCGAGTGACGGCCAGCGACAGTCACGTGGCCGTAGGGGTCGGCATCAAATTGGCCACCGATGGCACGTATTTTGTGTGCTATACGGGTGTCGCCGATTCGCCCACTGCCGACGCCTCATTCGTCTACATTCCCGGCTCTGAACACACGTATCAATTGGTGAAAGTGGAGGGCCCTCTCATACCGCTGTGGTTACAGGCGCTGCTTCTGGTGCTGTTGCTGTGCATGTCTGGCCTGTTCTCGGGCCTCAATCTGGGTCTTATGGCGCTGGACAAGAACGAGCTGAAAGTGATCGAGAGGTGCGGCACCGAACAGGAGAAACAGTACGCCAAACAGATCACACCCGTACGCAAACGTGGTAATTACCTGCTCTGCACACTCCTGTTGGGCAACGTGTTGGTCAACTCGACGCTTACCATTCTGTTGGACGACCTGACCAGCGGTATCGTAGCCGTAGTGGCCTCCACCCTATCCATCGTGGTGTTCGGTGAGATTATACCGCAGGCCCTGTGCTCGCGACACGGCCTGGCAGTGGGCGCCCGTACTGTGTATCTTACGTACTTGTTTATGGTGTTGACGTTTCCGCTCTCGTATCCCATTTCCAAGGTTTTGGATAAAGTTTTAGGTATTTATAACTACTTTTCACTATTGCATGGGTGGACGGGGGAAAGCTCCAGGAGTTTTGAAGCCATTGGTTATCAATAAATACTATATTAACACCATTTTCTGTGGGCACCGATAGGCGAAGAGATTGGCAACGTGTACGACAGGGAACGGCTGATGGAATACATACGGGTGACCAAAGACCACAACCGACTGGACGCGGATGAGGTGAACATCATATCGGGTGCGCTGAAGCTGTCGAAGATGAAAGTGGTTGAGATCATGACACAGATTCAGGACGTGTTTATGTTGTCCTACAATACGGTACTCAACTTCGAGGCCATGAATACCATCAACAGTCAGGGCTACTCACGAGTGCCGGTGTACGAGGGCGACCGCAACAACGTGGTGGGCATTCTGCACGCCAAAGACCTGGCCTTCACCGACCCCGACAACAATATGCCCATCAAAGCCCTCATCGAGTTTTATAAACACCCGCTGTATTTTGTCTACGAAGACGTGACGCTGGATGTGATGCTCAACGAGTTTAAACAGGGTATGTGTGGCCACACAGCGTCCTAAACGGTTGTAATTAATAGTTAAATTTGTTTGTTTTGATGGATAGGTAAGTCTCATATGGCGTTCGTGCGTAAGATCATCGACGACGGTATCAACGATCCGGTGTACGAGTTGGCCGGTGTGGTCACACTGGAGGACGTGATCGAAGAGCTGATCCAAGCGGAGATCAACGACGAGACGGACGTCATATCTGATAATCGCCGCAAACAGAAGCGCAAAGAGGCGGTGAATCGACCGAATTATTCAGACTTTATGAAACTGGGCGGTGGAAGCGGTCACGAGACCAAACAGCTGACCTCCCAATTGGCACTCGCGGCCTACAGATACCTGTCCACATGTAAGCGCATCGCTGTTACCCTACACTAACTTCAACGCTAACTTTTATGTATTGAATTTGCCATTAAATGTGTGTTTACTGGCCCTCTAGTCGTGGATCCATTCACTCCTGAGTTCCTAACGGAGACTGTATTGAAGAGATTGATGTCGCAGAAGATCTACCGTGAGATCAAAGTGAAGCCTAACGTGCAGTTCGACAATGTAGACAAAGTGCCGGCCGATAAACGGCTTTACACTTACGGAAAAGCGGCCGACTATTTCATATTGATTCTCGACGGCAGAGTCCGAGTCATCATTGGTAAAGAGCAACACTCCTACGAATGCGGGGCTTTCCAGATCTTCGGCGTATCTGCGCTTAAGGTGGCCTCAGCTGACGATAAAGTGGCCAAATCTACTTCGATGGGACGCCTGTCCATCACTGAAGGTATGTCTAGTAGAGAGAGAGAGAGAGAGAGAGAGAGAGAGAGAGAGATACGTGACTTATAGTTATTGCTTTGCGGTGATCGGGCTTTAAACCGATGCGATTTGCCGTTGACTGTGAAACAGCGGTCAGTTTGGAGCCGGTGTCGAGAAATGGACGCACTTTCTGGCCGTTGACGACCATGTCATAGAATATGAAAGGCGTTGCGGTTATTGTGTTTACGGTATTGGTCGGAGATGAGGTCGCCTGTGATGACGACTGTGTGTACGCGTTGTTGTGACGAGAGGACGACTCACTGCTATGCGATTGTGTGAGTCGTGAGCAGTCAGAGCGCCAATGATTCCCATTGCATTCGGGACACGGATAAGGCGGTGGTCGACTGTTGTCATAAGAGCGGCCGTTATTGCGATTATCGTAGCGATCATTACGGCGCTTATGTTTGTCGTTCCGTCTCTGATTGTTACTGTTGTCGGAGTGTTCGTCTGATTCTGTGGACGAGTTGTCGTTGGCTTCGCCGTAATATGAAGAGCCGTTACGGTTGCGACCGTAACGTTGAGCTTGTGGTCTCGCTTTTTCGAGACGAATGGCGGCTTCTATCCACTCTTTGGTTGTGCGCGGAGAGGGGTTGGCCATGTGTTGGCGGTAATAGTCAGGTACGCCACCAGTAAGCATAACAATTTGGTTCTTCTCGGCCACGTCTGCATTCTTCATGAAAGTTCGCATATCGTTATAATACTCGAGAATCGTTTCGTTGCCTTTCAGTCGACGGTTCTTGGCGTCTTCGAAGGCGTCGCCACGATTAATGTCAAAGCGTTCGGTCATTAGTTGCGAGACGTCGGGCCAAGACGTGCTGTTGACAATGGGCGTGATTTCGCGAGCGAACCACTGAAGGGCTTCACCCGACAAGTGTCGAGTCAACGCGAGTATGCGTTCGCGGTCCGAGTAATCCATCGTAGCGGTGACGTAAATCATTAGCCAGTCGTCAATATTCACTTCGTTGTCCGTACCGATGTACTTATCGCACAGTAAGTGATTAGAGCGACGGCTCGACTGTTGTGACGGCATTGACTGTGAAGGCTCGTGAGGGGCAGATGTCTGCGCATCTGTCGGTGAGGGTATCGATTTGCTGATAGTAGTCGGCGGCGGTGGCGCCTGTGCTGGCGATGGTTGAGAAGCCATCGGTTGTGTAGCGATCGGCAGAGTAGCCGATTGAATGACGGGCGGCGGTGCCTGCTGTGGGCTATTGGTGCCGTAGTCGTATCGTATAGCGCTTGAACTCGTAGTTGAAGTGCGTGTCGACGCTATTGGCGTTGATGGCGGGGCCATCGAGGCTGTCACTGGCGGTGCTGTGACGTTAACGCTGGCGATGGGCTGCGTCTGTGGAGCCAAGAGAGCCATGCGTTGTGCCAATGCGATGAGTGCGTTATCATCGATGAGTGCGGCCAAAGAGGTCGATGTGATGGCACTGGTGCTGGCATTAGGCGCGGCCTGTGTTGCGACACCAGTGGTAGCATTAGTTGCGGAACGACTTGTGGAGCGGGTATTGTGTGCTCGGGGAGACGCTGCGGCTCTTGGAGCCCGCAGTCCAGTCGACACGTG